AAGTTGTCTTTAACAACTCCCTGGCACCGGTTTCCATAGCAATTTCTAGACAACAACCAAAACAGCGGTTTGACAACTTGTTGATATATAACGTGGCACCGCGTCTGGTGACATGTCTATGAAAATTTCATGAATGTGATAAAGCAACTAGGTGTTTTCAGAGAACACATATTTTCAGAGCACAATCAATTTCATTTACTCCGTGTTTCGTGCTCTTGCGACCTGTAAGTTGATTGGCACACTCGCACTAACACGCATGCAAGTTCACATACATGAACACAATATACACGGTTGGAAAAGATAGTCTCCAATAATATTACCAACAAACAGATGCCCGCTCGTGTATGGTAGGGCCTACTGTTTACCCTCGCCGTTCCCAAAAGTCTCTCTTTCTCTCTCTTCCTCCCTTCCTCCTCTCTCTCTCTCTCCCTCTCTCTCTCTCTCCTTCAAAGAAAAGCAAGACATCCACCAAGTAAAATACAAAAAGAATATATACATGTCGTTGAAACATGAAATCCACGTGAATTGATTTATGTGTTTGTTAACAAACAACAGCCACTGAAAATTACTATTTCATTGTATTACAATGTATTTCAACCGACCCACCAGGCGCTAGCTTTAAGCGTTAACAAACACTGAATGAAATCATGAATGCTATATGGGGGCTCAGGCATTTTTTTTACAAATAGAGTTGATCAAACGCATATGTGGGTATATTCGCTTTGATGTTCTTTTCAAAAACATACATCTACCATGACTATATCCACTTCCTTTCTGGATAAAAGGGGACTGAAAACAGAGGAAAATGCACTTACTTTCCAATATACATGTAAATTTCAAAAAATATTTTCCAGCAGCGATGGGCAAATGGGCTCAGTTCTTGAACCTTCATTGGCTACACATATGCAAATGCTAATAAACTGATTTTTTATTAGTTGCAGTTTTTACTTTTTTCCCAGAAGCTGTCTGCTGACCTTGGCTGCAGTACATCCGTTGCCTGAGACTGAAGCTAAGAGCCCGCGCTTAGCGTATCACATTGAGCATGGCGCAACTATCGCAATGCCGAGACAAATACACGGCGATGTCAAGAAACGGAACGGGGTTTCTCCTATTAATGATGTTATAATATCACCGTATTAAGTAACCGGGGTCACTGTGTTTTCAGTCTTGTTTTTAAATGGTCACATACTAGAACTTGTTCAGGTTCATCGGACTCGCAAAGTAATTTATTTATCAGTGTCAGTCCGAAAGGAGTTCTGTCCGCATGCAATATGCATGGGTTGGGACCCTGGACATCAGAAGTCAACGGAAAGATGATCAAACTTAGAGAAACTTGACAATACTGGCGTGTGCTATTTCATTATTCAGAATACACATTATCCGAAATACACTGTACCTACTACTGATATCTAATAATGTTTTTTTTTTTTTATCATCATCATATTCTGTTATCTCATCTAGTTCAAGAGGTGAAATAACAAAAGCCTGAAAATGCTTTTGAAACAAAAGCGAAACGTAGCGTAGCCGTTTCTTTAAAATGTTCCAAATAAGAGATAGCCATCACTAAAACGTATATACAAGAACTTGAAACCATGGACAACCTAACAGAAAACTTGAACACGTACTACAGTTCCAATTAACGTACAGGATAAAACTGAAACAGTATGAACCCGATCGAGTTCATCTTGCAGCACGTTATGCAAAAATCAATAACAGGTACACGTGCACTAACAATCATCATAGATCGAACAAAAAACAGCGTATGGCGCAATCTTTAGAACTACTGCACTTGTCTTGCCATTGATTCGGTAGGTACCTTAAGGCGGCTTAAAGGGTATAAATAGACGCTGACCTAACGATCACACTTGGCCAGGGTTACACAGTGCGTCAGAACCCTGGACACATCTTGATTCGGGACACTGATGATGCGTTGTTTGTTGTACAAGGGAATATGACACACATTCCCACCTAAGTGGATCGTAAGTTTTGTAAAATGTGTATATGTGTACATGTGTAAAATGAGTATATTAGTTTTAATAAAGCGTACCATTTTGCTACGCATTGTTATACATTTTAACCGCACAAAGTATTTTAAAAATTAGAAAAGTTTGTGTGAAAATTGGCGGGGTGGGGGGGGGGGGGCGGATGGGGTGTGTAAAGCGAATACCCGTTATTCTTAGTTGTGTCTTTTTTCGGTATTTCGAGAAACAAAGACAGAGACAAGTACAAAAAATATATTTACGAGATAAATAATGTAGTTAACAAATAATTGTCTAGGAAATGCACACAAAACGTAATCAATACTAATTCTAGCTAGGTACGCTAATTCTCTTTATTATGTAAGTCACAGGTTCCCTATCCCTGCAATTCCTGCTATTCATTTGGTCGATAGCGCTACTTGAAGTCGCCACTGGCAGCTTTATAGTATTATCATTCACGAAATAGGAAAGAAAAACCGAATTGTATCGTTCAGTGCATGCGGAACTAAGAGCTTTTTAAGAAAGTCAAATGTTGCATAGGCGACTATTGTGAAACATTGTACAATTCAGTAAATATGTGTTCAACGCGGCCTCCTACGCTTTTTTTATCCACACAACGGCAGCGATAAAAATAGAAAACCACCACCCCACCACCAAAAGAAATTCACACAAAAGGCTGGTTTCAATCTCTGGCAAAGCTGTACAAAACATTAGCTGTTTCCAAGAATTACTGCAACCCATCCACAAATTTACACAGTATCATAATAATTTTTTAAGGAACCTACCACAACCAAAGACGCTGTCGGGTACTTTACGTCTGCCTATTGGTCCAGTGTGAAATAAAATAACACACTCACAAAGGATGAGTAATAAAATATTTTTTTTTAATCTGGGAACGAATATCATAGAAAAAAAGGAAGAATAAATAAGCACACCAGTTGCCTGCCCGATACCAATGTCATTCTTTCACAGATGTCCACAACCCGATAATGAAAATCTCAATACCAATGTTCACCAAAAAGTATTTCAGCAGAAGACGAAAAAAAAAACGTCAAAAAGTAGAATTAAAATCAAGGAGTTCCAACAAACTCCTTTCTAAAGTAGGCCTAAGTTAGGCCTCAACTTTGAATCTTCCAAATATCGCATTGACTAATCACAAAGAAAGGCATTTGAAACAGAAGTGAAAAGATGCTCAAATAAGTCGAATATGATTAGCAAAAGCATCGAATACGAAACTGATAAACATGAAAGAGTAGAAGGCTGTTCAAGACTACTTTAAAATGCCATTCTGTCTAATAAGTGACAGTGAGAGGAAATATGTCACTGAACACGAAAAGGGAGTCTTTAGAAGGCACAAGTCGTGACGTTCATATACATTTATCATGCAACATCTCTATTTTATCAATACGAAGCGTAAACACACAGAAGTCACCGGAGGTGATGAACTTCGGGTCCCTGTTGATTTTTCGGTTTCGAATTCTCCCAATAACAAATTAATACTACAGGGTGAATAGACTTCGGTGTAAGACCACACGTCTCCTCAACCTGGTGCCCAGTCCCGTCCATTGCTTGACCAGAGTGACCGTCACTATCTCTATATGGGGGCAAGGGGGCTGGGTTCCTTCTCACACAATGGTCTTGATAGATAGTTTGTTTTATTTTTACCAACCGGACAAAACTGGACCTCCTAACCTAAGATTCAACATAACCTTATGCTGAATCTTCCCTGAGTGTCAGGGCACTGTAAAGTTAGCTTGCTAACTATTCATACCTTTTCACGGGATAGCTTCACAGTTTTGCTGATATGGGGTTTATTGAAATCAAGATCGAGCAAAACTGAAATCTAGAACCTAGGGTAGTTGAATCCGAATCAAAACTGAAATCTAGAACCTAGGGTAGTTGAATCCGAATCAAACCTGAAGTTGTTTCTTGAATATCCAAATTATTTTTTTTTTACATTAAAAAATATCCATTTATATATTTATTCATATATGTTGCTATCATATTTGTCAAATTTCCATGCGTTTATTGAACTATTTATCAATTCATTTATTCCATTTCACTATTTACTTATCTTTTTGAGTTTCCATCAGTGCATCTTTACGCGCAAGACGTTTGTAAACTTAATTTCTCTGCCCTTCTGAATCCCAGATAACAAAATACTGAATTGTCCTTCTAATCTACTGTAGATACTGCGTCGCTAAGGTGAATCATGTATTGGTCATCGACCTTTATCAAAAGATTACCAACTGTGTTTGTATTTCCGTTGACTATATTAACACCCGTTTAGTCTCGATACCGCTTGTAGCACAACAAGTAAAATACACTGACAACGAGGCATCCACTGAGGCAATACTTGATAGCGTTGACTGACTGCCACGTGTTGCATATTCACTTTGTCGCTCCATGCGGAAATGTTTACAAACACCGCCCACAAATGGGTGCACAGGTACGCCTAAGTTTTACTGAATACCACGCGTTATTAAGGCGGATCAAAGGGGCCAAGGAACCCCCTCCCCACCTTTCTCAAATCGAAACTGGTTGTCCCATCTTTAGCAGTCCTCTCACTACCATCCCCGCCACAAATAAATAAATAAATAAATTTAAAATAAATAAATAATAAAAACGAAAGGGGAGGTGGGTATTGAAATGCGCTCCCTAAGCAGATTTCCTTCTCCATTGAACGGACAGAATCATATTTAATAAAAATTCGCTTCAAAACAGGAGAACACAGATTGTAACCAAAAACAAAAGGGATTGGGGTATGGATAAAAATAAACGTACCATAATTTGGGGCAAATTTACAACACTGAGTAGGTGAAGCATGCTACGGAGAGACTCACTGGGCGTTTATTATCCCCTTTCAGGGATAGGCCTACACTGGGGCTAAATCTGCCATTTTGCTTTGGAAAACACAGGACCAAAATATAGCAAAGAAACATATTTTATAAGAAACGAATTAATCTCCCTTTACCTCTTGAAAGCAAAACTGAATGACAAAAATTCAAAAAACGTAATTACCCGACTGCACCTGGCTTAATGTGGGCGCGAGGATCGCCCGCCTTGGACGACTTTTCTGTGATCTGACCATACACGTGTGCATAGGGGTCCGGCATGGGTACGAGTACCTTACTCAAGGGAGGACATGACACTTCTGCCGCCTCGGCCATCTTTTCCTGTTCGCAATTTTGGCTGTTACGAATCTTTTCATAACTTTTTAACTCGGCGACTTTGTGATCTATGTTAGCACCAATGTCGATCATCAACATAATACTGAATTTCACTATGTTGCCTTTTAGTATAATAATAATTATAATTGTCCGAATCGTATCCGTGGCTCATAGCGTTCTGACTTTCCGAGGATGTCAATTCGGCGGTTAGACTTAGAGTAATTCTGTACGCGTTCCTATATATATGGCCTGGCATCAACATCAACATTACTCCTACTGTCAGCTCGACCTTTCCTGGAGTTCGTGCGCCTCGTTTGACAATTGGCAGCAAGCTCTGTTTACATGTTGCGACCGAATTAAATAAGGAGAGTCCCCCTTTTTAGGCGTTTCTTAAATTTGGCCCGGGCAGGGCATATTCGATTTATCGGATATCCGTTCCTAGGACGTGTAGCGATTGCTTAATATGCTGTTTGAATCCCAAAGAACGTTGCTAGCCTGACTAGCTTGCGCAATATTTCCCGGGCTTCAGGTTTTCATTTTCCATTCATAAATGCACACTTGCCGCTAGAGGGCATGGAGGAGATCCAGGACAAGCTAATTCCGAGAGCTATTGCGAAATGTTGTAGGGGATTGCGAAATTTTGCAACCTGGGTTTGTTTTGTTTTGTTTTGACTAATTCGGGTGAATGGTTGATAAGAGTCACATGTTTCTGATGAGGACTTACAAATAAAGTATTTGAACCGGAAGAGAATCGCAAACAGAAAATTTCACAGAAATAAAACGGTACATTTCGGACAGGTTTCCTTGACAGAAGCCTACTACCCCGCACAGTTTAGAAAAAAAATTAAAACTGAAACTGTCCCTGGCTTGAGTCTAACGTTCCATCTCTGTATCACAATGCAAAAATAGATGTACTTGCATTACCAAATCTACAAGTCAAAATTCTAGTAAATAATTATCATATAAGAATAATAAGATGATTTCATAAACAGGTGGGAATCACAATGTACACATGGACTGCCTGATATTCCAACTGACGCCACGTTTATTTTTGACAACCTTATCAATCTGAATTCGACAAACCCTAGAAGGGTCAAGAAAGCCATGGCATCTATCACTAAGATTAACAAATCCATACGTGCACGCAGCGCAAAATATTTTAATGCACTTATCTATTGTTACGACTGACTGGCTGGAGGACAGTCTGAAAGACAGACAGACAGACAGACAGACGAAGACAAATTTGCAGAAAACGCTTTTAAGTAACTTATACAAAATCTGAGAGTGGTCTGGTAAAACACATAGCGACCAATGAGCCCTTTTCTGTTTCATCTGCATTTGGACTATCTTCATAATTTTAAGCTTTATTACAAACCAGACAAATCAGCCTACGCCAACACCAAGAATACCAGGAGCGGAATTGAATAGAGTTCAAACCGCTTGCCACCTACGCTCGTTGTGAAATCGACCAGTGTGTCACACGGGCGTGTGAATGTGAGGTTGAAAGGCAAAGAAATACACTGTTTGCCGAAATTCCACAAATGACACATCGACAATCGTCACGCAACTACATGTTTAAGGATCAGGCGAATATATACATATGAATATATACATGTCAGGGGTGGATCCAGGATTATTTGAAGAGGGCCCGGGGGCAAAGCCGACCATCACATTCCACCCCAACCCACCTCCCTGGTGTGGGGTTCGGGGCCCGTATTTTAGAGGGCGAACGGTAGGGTTCAGAACTATGATTCAGCTAGTCAAAATTCTAATTTCAAGATGGGAATATGAAAGTGATTTTCTTTCAAATCGAAATCGAAATCGAAGGGGGGGGGGAGTCAGAACCCCCTGACCTAAATCCGCCACTGCATGCACACACACACACACACACACACACACACACACACACAGCATAGGAGAGCTATGCTTTCGGCCGTAGTCTTATCCGATGAACACAAACAGCTATATATGACACCGTAAACCCCCTTATAACTTACGAAGTTCGACAAGTTTTATATTTAATAAATTTTATATCTTCTGTGTACCGCGGAAATATGATTGGAAGTGTGTGTGTGTGGGGGGGGGGGTATATGGTTTGGTAAGGATTCATAGGCCTATGTAGTTTCAGTCTTCTTCAGGTTGTATATATATTTATATATGTTAAAAACAAGTGCTCAAAATAATAAACTATCAGTTTTCTCATTTATAAAGCTACATGCCTCATATCCATCATAATATATGCATCAAATAATTATTTCATTATGATTACTCTGGTGCATTTTAGAAGTCACAAGTGCGTACATCTGTACCACACATGAATGGGACAGGCAATTTATTTTTGAAAAATAGGCCTACACGAATTTTAAGCAAGAAATTAATTCATGAATAAATATTTTTAACTCATCCAAAGGCATGATGGGTAACGAGAAAAGAGAAAAGCTTTTTAATAGGCACATGGAAGTGAGAAAAGATAGAGCACGTAAAAAAAATTAGATTTTATCCGGCAATCAATGCGGCAGAGCTGGATAATGCACAAGTTAGGTAAACACTTGTACATGTATTCTGAGGCGTTTGTGTGGCGACCGCACATTTTGTCGATCGCAAAAAGCCAGTTGTTTACGAAAAACAGCTCTCTAAATGTTTAAATTACCAAAAAGAATTGCGATCAAATGATTTTTTATCAGCAAAATACAAAATAAAAAAAAATACTTAAAAACTATTACAAAAACAGATGTAATAAAATTACTTATAAAAAGGTTGTACAAATTTTCACAAATATTTATTAAATAAATAAATAAATAAATAAACTCAAAAACAGAAAATAAGAATTTTAATAGTTATAACAATAGTTTATATATATCGTTTTGTCCATTTTAACGAGACTGTCGATATGACACAGCCTTCGTGGTTTTTAGGCTTAATGTGAATTTTGTATCGAATGTCTTAAGCATAGAAATTATTATTGCAGATTATTGTTGGACGACATCAAACGTTACATCGTTTTGTCAGGTTTACAGTAAACATTTTCTATGGGACATATCGAGGTCGAGCGATACAGATACATAAATAAATAAATAAATAAATAAATAAATAAATAAATAAATAAATAAATAAACGAACAGATTAATCAATGAGAAACAAATACTCATCCAAGGTTCATGGAAACCGGAATTCTAACTTACAGAACTCAGAAGAGAACGAGGTTCATTTGCAGAAAGCGCCCTACTAATGATCCTTCAGACAGCTTCTAGAACAGTCAACAAACCTGGGCCATCCTAGCTGTGAAACCCAAATATTGAACATAGGCTATAGTCTTAATACCCCGTTGACCGGGGTGACCGCTGTCCACGCCCCACTCAGACTGCTTGGACACAGCGTTCGTGATTGCCGAGTACTTGTGATTATCTTTCCGAACTCTGCCAATACCGGGGTTATTTTAACGTTGCCACAGGCGCTGGTTTGTTTGTTAGTGGACAACATGCCTCAGAGTATTCTACGTAAACGTTGATAAAATTTTAAGATAGATAATTGTGTGGGGGGGGGAGGGTAAAAGTAACTACAGTTCTAAGTGAATCGAGGTCTACTCTCATATTATGATTTTTTTTCTTCTGGGCGGAGGTCTGCGTTCTTGGGGGTGTCTCAAGTTAGATAATATTTCTAGACCACACACAAGGCAGAATATAACTGCAAAAACTCACTCATTGCGGACATAATTACCCAAAATTTCTCCAAATTTTCTTTTGATGATTTTTGCTATTTTTGTCACAGGCATTTTTAATGAACGTCAACGTGTTCACCTCGAAATGTTAAATGTATATGATGGCATATGTTTCAGCAGATGTGAACCCCCTAGTAAGGACACCCGGAGGGGTGAGGAAATGGGTGGGGTTGGGAGTGTGGGTGGGGGTTATAATAGCGACAACCGAAACACGTGCAGATACCTACTACAGTTGCCGATATTACAAATGCGGGAGGGCGTGGTGGATTTTGCCGACTTCATGCTCTAGGTAATTTCAAGGTGATTTTCAGGAAGAGGTGCCTTGTCTGTCTGCCTGCCTGCCCCCCCCCCCCCCCTCCCACAACTGAGGTGCTATTGAGAAGTAAAGCAAACAAGTGGTAATTTTATGTCAAACTCGGCAAAGGATATTTCCGTAAATGTCATGAATCTATTGATCTAATTCAGAACTTTTGTTTCAGATATTCATTAATTATTTTCAATAGTTTTTTTTCATTTTTGCCTCTAGCAAACTAACTGCTAACGTGCATCCACCTGAGTCACAGCTATATACTATTAATTAAATTCACTGTTTTTTTTTTTTTTCAAATATTCATTAATAATTTTTAATTGTATTTCATTTTTGCTACCGGCAAGCTAGCTGCAAACGTGCATCGCCTTGAGGAACAGCTTAACACTGCCAGCTATATCTACTGACCTAACTATAAATATATAAGTAAGTAGAGCATGTTGCTCTCTCGATGTCACCTTATTGAAAGGTAGAAAAACCGCAAGTCATGGTTTACAGTGTCATCATACATTTATAGCGCTCGCGCAGCGTTAAATGGATAATTAAACAACTGCGAAGCAATCGCTGAAAATGTCATTTAAAGACAGTGGCTCTCATATGAATAGTAATTAAGAATGAAAAAGATGATTAATTAATCTAATGAAATAAAATATCATGTACAGTACTAATGAAGGGGGGGATAAATGCCATATTCTCCAAGCAAAATAAAATGAACTTGAAATTCCAGTTAGCAATCCCCCTTAAAAAATCCATAAAATCCGACATGTCACCTAAACACTGCTGAGTGTCCATAACAAAAAAAAACTATTCTGTTAGTTACATCTGTATTAACAGTATTACATAAAAGTTGGATAAGAAAACTACCACACGTTCTTCATCTTACCCTTTAAAAAGGCATCCCTTTTCGGGGACTTCCTCTGAAGCGGGCGGCATGTGAACGTTACGACTGAATCTGTCACCAAGAACGTCTCTGATATAAACCGCGTGGCACAAAACTGAAACCTTTNACACACACACACACAGCATAGGAGAGCTATGCTTTCGGCCGTAGTCTCATCCGATGAACACCCACAGCTATATATGACACCGTAAACCCCCTTATAACTTATGAAGTTCGACATGTTTTATATTTAATAAATTTCATATCTCGAGTGTACCGCGGAAATATGATTTGAAATGTGTGTGGAGGGGTATATAGTTAGGTAAGGATTCATATGTAGTTCAGTCTTTTTCAGGTTGTATAGCCTATATTTTCATACGTGTTAAAAACAAGTGCTCAAATGTTATAAATTATAACTGTTCTCATTTATAAAGCCACGTGCCTCATATCCATTATAATATATGCATCAAATATTTTTATAATGATTAATCTGGTGCATTTTAGAAGTCACAAGTACTTACATGTGTCTCTACCACACATAAAAGGAAAGCCACTTCATTTTTTGATAAATACACGAATTTTAAGCAAAAAAATTAATTCATGAATAAATAACATTCACTCGACCAAATGCAAGATGGATAACGAGAATAGAGAAAAGCTTTTTAATAGTCACATGGAAGTGAGAAAAAGATAGAGCACGTAAAAAAAACGAGACTTTATCCGGCAATCAATACGGGAGAGCTGTATAATGCACAAGTTAGACAAACACTTGTACATGTATTCTGCGGCGTTTGTGTAGCGACCACACGTTTTGTCGATCGCAAAAAGCCAGCCCAGTTGTTCACGAAAAATAACTCAACAAATGTTTAAGTGTTTAAGTTACCAAAAAGAATTGCGATCAAATGATTTTTTTGATCAGCAAAATACAAAAAATACTCGAAAAATTATTACAAAAATAAAAATAACAAAATTACTTATAAAAACGGTTGCACGAATTTTTTTTTCAAAGGAATGCGGTCAAGTATTTGAAGTTATCATCAAAATAAATACTTATTAAATAAATAAATAAATTAATTAATTAATAAATTAATAAATAAATTAATAAATAAATAAACTCAAAAACCAAAAATAAGAATTTTAATAGTTATAACAATAGTTGATATATTTTGTTTTATTCATTTTAACGAGAAGGTCGATATGACACAGCCTTCGTGGTTATTAGCCTTAATGTGAATTTTGTATCGAATGTCCTCAGTATAGAAATTATTATTGCAGATTATTGTTAGACGTCATCAAACGTTACATCGTTTAGTCAGGTTTACAATAAACATTTTCTATGGGACATACCGGGGTCGAACGATACAGTAACATAAATAAATAACTAAATAGATAAATAAATATACGAACAGATCAATCAATGGAAAACAAATGCTCATACAAGTTTCATGGAAACCGGAATTCTAGCTTAAGATCTCCAAAGAGAACGATGGATTCGAGGTTCATTCGCGGAAAGGGTCCTGCCAATGTCCCTTCAGACAGCTTCTAAAGCAGTCAACAAATCTGGGCTATCCTAGCTGTGAAACCCAAATATTGAACATAGGTTATAGAATTAATACCCTGTTGACCGGGGTGACCGCTGTCCACGCCCCACTCAGACTGCTTGGACACAGCGTTCGTGATTGCTGAGTACTTGTGATTATCTCTCCGATCTCTGCCAATACAGGGGTTATGTTGCCATAGGCGTTGGTTTGTTTGTTAGTGGACAACACA